TTTTAAACATACTTTTGTTTTTACTTCACTGCTTTTTTAGGAGTTCCTTCAACTATATAAGAATCGCATTTCATGAAGAGACTTTTTAAATAATCCTTCACTTTCAGTTATCATTGCCTCCTCTGAAGACTTCAGTGTTGTTGAACCATTCAGCAGCTAGAAATCATCTTATTTGAGCTCAGCAAAAACAGTTTTTCTCAGAGGAGAGCAGTTTGCTGGATACTTTTAAATAAAAGTTTTAAATGATAAAATCAGCTTTAAAACAAGATTTCTCTGTAACTTACCCAGTAGTTCCCCACCCCAACAGTTATCATCAGGAAAACAGTTTTACATTGCTTAGCAATCAATATGCAGGAAACCATTTTTGTTTCATGCTCCAGCTTTTCTTCTTTTAAGAGAAAAATTTCAAACATCTTAATGAAGGGTATGTGCACGGGAGGATAGATAGTGCTGAGGGTGTGGTTTTTAGGTATTTTGTCATTGGATTTTTTGGTCAGGATCCTTAATGTTTTGCATCAGCTTGGGCTTTTAAATTAGATGTGAAGTAAGACTTCTTTCTACATTTTTATAGTTAATTTAGTGAAAGATGTGAAAGTGAAAGCTTGTGAAAGATGCTGGGATTGGCAGCCCCGCAGACTGAAGTCCTCTGTTCATCCACAGAACAGGTACAGCACGGGCAAGATTTACCCACCCACCCTCAGCCCTGATCTGGAGGGACCACCAGTAGGGGTGGGAGGGTAATTCAGCTTCTGAGGCCCTTTCACTCCTTGGAGTCTTTGCTGAGGCGACTTACAAAGGTGACCACTGCAGTGAAATTTTTCTTAAAAAAAAAAAATGGAAACACAATTAGGAACTAGATGGACATTTCCAGCTCATTTCTGAAAGACCTAGGAACAGCAGTCAGTAATTCTTGGACTTCTTTTCTTCTTTCAGATCCAAAAAGCTAATCCAGGAATCTGATCAGCACCTGAAAGATGTAGAAAAAATTTTGCAGAACGACAAACGGTATCTAGTACTAGACTGTGTGCCAGAGGAGAGGCGTAAACTGATTGTGGCATACGTGGATGACCTGGATCGCCGGGGTCCACCCCCACCTCCCACAGCGTCAGAGCCCACAAGACGATCAACAAAATAATTCTCAATACTCTTCCACAGGGGTATCTATTAATTCAAAACGCTTGCATGAGCCAATTTTCAGGTTTTTACATGTATGTGCATTAGTCAAACTATTGCAAAACCATCTGACGAACAGAAGGAGAAGCATTCGTGAACAGTTTCTGAACAGAGAACACTTTGGAAATATTTATGCTTTTCTTTGTGTGGCATGACTGACATACATACTCAGATATAGGCTGTCTCTAGTAAATCTAAAATCTTGAAGCTAAAAATCATCCTTTTACGAGGTGTGGAAGTCAGTGACTTTGGTGACGTTCTTTCTAACAGTGTTATACATGCAAGACGTAAGAGCATTTGTGGTTTGAACTTGCAAGATGCAAATACCACAGACTCCAAGAAAACCTAAGTTGGGGTTTGTTTTGTTTTGATTTTGTTTTTTAAAGCGGGTAAAAGAGAAAACACTGAAAATTGAATTCTTATCTTCCAGAGGCTAAGATTATTATAATGGACATACTTTTACCTTTGTCTCTAAAGAACACTTTAGTTTTATTTGTTCACTTATGTGCTTTGATTATTTCCTCTGAATTATAGGCCAAGTCTTGTTGTTTAGCCTAAGAGAAGATTTATTTAGTAATTTCTTCTCAGGTGTGGAACCATGGTCATAACTAACATGTTGGCCAGAATAGGACTGCTGGTTAAACACATTTTTATTCACCATTAAGTGATCTATCAATATTCTGGATTAGACAACAAATTACCTTTCTTGGGTGTTCCCTGTAAACTATACTCCTGTTTGAATGTTAAACTTTTGTTTCTAAAGTTTAATTTTAAGATGTTTGAATGTTCAGTTTATGTATTTGAACTACAATAAACCAACCCTTTTTATATATGTGGATTGTATATGATTATTGTTACATAATTTATAAAAACTTCTTTTAAACCTTTTCTTAAAAGCAGCAGCAAATATAATTTGGCACAAAGAAAGTTGACTTTCAGTCTTTCAATCTTGGATGTCACATAGTTTTTAAAGGCTTGAATATTGGGCCGGTCCTGTGGCATAGCGGTTAAGTGCACGCACTGCGCTGCTGGCGGCCCGGGTTCAGATCCCGGGTGCGCACCGACGCACTGCTTCTCCGGCCATGCTGAGGCCGCGTCCCACATACAGCAACTAGAAGGATGTGCAGCTATGACATACAACTATCTACTGGGGCTTTGGGGGGAAAAAAAATAAATAAGATCTTTAAAAAAAAAATAAATAAAGGCTTGAATATAATAATAAATTATTTGCAGTATAAAAGGGAAGGAATTTGTAAAGAACCATTTTGGTGCTCAGTCTCTTAGCAATATCTTATTGCTTCATAGCAAGAAGATGCTGATTTTTTTTTCTTTTATATTAACATATTGATGATTAATGTCTTTTTGGCATCCTTTTGATGTGTCATGCACATCCCTACCATGAATCTTATCTTTGAGTCCCAATTGCTCTTTCTAGCATTACCTCCCTAGTTAAAAAATATCTTCATTTCATTCCTTCATAGTCAAGTTTCAGAGTACTACATAAATAAAATGTTTAAGAAAAATATGTTAATAGGATAGTTTATTTTTCCTGTTATCTCACACCTACTCTGGTTGCAACAAAGCATGCAGACACACATCACACACACACAAACACATTCACGTCTGTGTTACTTAGTACTTAGCTTAAGTATATTAAGTGCCACAGAAATGTGAACTCTGTATGTAGAAACCTGGAACTGATTATCTGACTGAGGTCTTAACGTATAAAATTGATAATTAATAGGATATTTTTTTCTCCTTTTTTGAAGTTTATGAATTCATTGAGTGATTTTTAAGTTTTATGAGGAGTGAAACTGAGTGTTTGCCAAAAGGAACACAACTATTATAGAAATATGACTGTCCTACGAAGGTGAGATTTCTAGAATGCTTTCTTTTGTTATTCTGAATTCCACATAGTATTGTTTGCTCACTATATTCTGTTTCTCACAGTAGAAAAGTGTGAAGAAAATGGTTTCGTGGTATCTATTTTAATTTCCTACTTTTGTCATAAAGTATTTGGGGTTGATCTTATAAGGTGCACATCAAACTTCTGTGCAGATTTCTTTAAGGGATCAAGTCAGAACTTTGTGTATTAGGTTCTTAATGAAAGGGTCATTGTAATTAACACTGTTTTTCAATATCTGCATCTTGATTTGGTGCTTATCAGCAGACTCTTTAAAGATTCATTTTATCCTGAGCCCTGTGCCCGTGTTAAGGTCTGACCTCCCCATGAAGCCCCATTGTGCCAAATGATGGTTTTGAAAGGAGCATTCAAGACAAAGACAACTGTAAGTCTCCAAAACTATCTGAAGTAAAACGTAGTTGTTTTATTTGTGTACAAGTTAACATGTCAAACACTGGAAGCTTACATCGTACATTTACTGTATATAATGAACATAAAAATCTTTAATTCAAATAGTTCATCACAGACACTTTTAAAGTTAATCCCTTTGTATAAGTAGAGTCTCACAAAACAATATTTTGGATACTTGGGTTAAATTGTACTTTGATCCTGTGAACATTAAAATAAAATTTGTAATGAACCAGGTGAAAAGAAAACAGCCCTATCTTCTGTGTTAAAAAAGCAAACCATAACCATTTATAAAAACAAAAAACAACCCAAAAAACCCACAGACTGAACATTTTTTTAAAATAAAAATTTTGTCCACAGCATAATTTTATATTTCAGATTCTCCATTGCTTGCCCCAAAGGCAGTTTTTTTCTGAGGGAACCCCTCAGTGAAAATACCCCAGGAATTCCATTACAAAGTAATCAAGAATCATGGATAGATGTCCTTATTATATTTAATAGGGGAAGAAATGTATCATAATCATTATGTTTTATTGGGTATGCTTTACCTTGCTGTAAAATGAACAGTTATTGCCTGTTATTCAAATTATACTCGTAATATGTTTGAGAATACAACATTTAATTTTATTGCTTTTCTTTCTGCACTGCTCTTGTGCTTTTTGTTTTCTGTCCTTAGCCAAATTCTGTGTTGTGTCAATTGGATTTTCTCTTTTTCATACTGATCTCCTTTTTTTTGCTTGTTACTCTTGATTACCTCTATAACTGAAAAACCCTGAGGTATTTTAAAAGTTGGGCCTGGTTCAAGTTCAATGTTATGGATATATTTAATATCATTTAACAAGCAAGATCATCTCTATTTCCCCTTTATGTTTTGAGGGCTATCTTCAGTAGTTAATACCTCCATCATTCCCCATAGCTTATAGTGGATCTTTAGAGAAAAGAGATATTGGAACATATTGGTTTCAGCTTGTAGAGGAGTTACTGTTTCCTGCATTTGGAAGAGTAGATAATTGGGAAGAGAAAGAAGGGTAGTTTTTAAGTTCTTTCTCCCTATAAAAATAGAGAATATCGTGTTAAGCTGCTAAAATCCTCAGGCTTAGAAACTGAAGACTCACAGAGGTGTCTAGAAAAGATCAGTGAATCAGGTTTTAGTATATGGCAAAGTTTGAATTTACTTCAACTTATCCAAAATGAGCCATGGTTTGAAATTAGCCCAGAAGTGGAATAAGGTGGTGTTCCTTATTCTGCAACCTTCAGTCGTGGAAACTCTGTATGGATTTTCATCAAGTAAGTTAACATTTTTTAAACAAATGAAGATAACTCATTAAAGTGTTAAAGTAAAATCTCTTAATTGGAAGTAGATTTTGAACTTTGGTTATGTAAAATAGTTTGATAGGTCAAGTTAGGGCTAGCAGGTTCAGGAGGAAACTAAAGGTACAGGGGGTTTAGCCTTTGACAGATAAGCTCTACTCCAGCCAGTACAGGGCTGGTCCTAAAGAGTACCCCAAAGACAGCCATTGTAAACAAGTGACAAAATAGCTGGGCTTTCTAATCACTTGTGGCAGAAGCATCTTCGTACAACACTTAAAGTTAATTCTTTGGACTGGCAGGTTGTAATTCTGAAACAATTATTACTCCTAACATGGTGTTCTACTTACCAAATTGCACATTTTGAAAATGCAGACTGTGAAGCATTTTTGTAATTCCTAACGGTAATAATTTTGTCATGTTTCTTACAGTAAAATCAGCAATATTGATAAGCAGCAGTACAAGTAAATACAACAATCGCGATTTGTTTTGCTTTGAAACTTAATCTATTTATCACAATCTCCTCCTGTCTCTTGATCTTCATGTTCCCAGGGGATAGGGTCATTGTCTTGTACGCAAGGGACTGTGTCCCTTTCCTGCCAAAACTGCTCTACATCAGGGAGGATGGGAATCTCTGCCTTCTCAGTTTTCTGTTTGCTGGAGGAGGGAGAGCCAGTTTTCTCTTTCTCTGGTGTGGATGTTGGGGACTCTGGAGATGGAACATTGTCGGGAAGGACCTCTGAGTTACCAGCTGGTATTTCCTCAGACTCTGAGGCAGTCGGATGTTTTTTGGTTATCCATTTCCATAAGCCTTTTAAGCCTTCCTTGAACTCCTCTGACATCACTAGAAAAATGAGAGGATTTGCTGAGGAGATGGAAAACATTAGAACTTGAGACAGGGCTATGAAACCTTGTGGTGGGGCCGGGCCTCCAGCCTTCAGGTGCCATATCCACAGCCAGACTACCCATTCAGGGAGCCACAGAATAGCAGAGATGATGGCAGTGCTCAGCAACATCACTGTGAGTTGCTTTGAGCGCATCTGATTTCTAAGATTTTGAGTCTTAGTTCCTCGTTTTTGACATTGGCCATAAGCTCTCCAGAAATAAAAACTGGCAAAGAGTAATGGAAGGCAAAATACGAGCAGAGGGTAGAGCTTACCAAACATTGACATGAACTCTTCAGCCACAGCGGGTACATCCATGAGGCACATTTCCACACCTGCGTAATGCCTGGTGGTGCTAAAGAACCATTCTGGCAAGGATAGCAGGCTGGCCACAGCCCAGATAGCCACCAGCACTGACCAGATGGTGCGGTTGTGGATATTTACTTGCTTGGCTGGGTCACTTGCATACGTGAAGCATACTTTGGCCACCGCAACGATTGTCAGGCTCTTGGCTGCCATGCACGTGTGGATGAACCAGTCAGACGATTTGCAGACAAACCAGCCTAGATCCCAGACACCTTTGGAGTATGCTGTGGCTCGTACAGGTGCCGAAAACAGCAAGAGAGAGAGATCAGCCAGGCTGAGATTCAAAATCAGGGAGTGGATCATGGATAGCTTTCCTTTCCAAGCGCTGTGAAGGAGGATGCCAATCACACACAGGTTTCCCACGAAGCCGACCAGGCAGACAGCCACCAAGAGAGCTGGGATTATGGTCCTCCAGTCCTTGGAGTCAGAGGGCAGGTACCCTCCAGCGAAGTGGAGGTGAGCAGAGGACACGTTCATGGTGCTGGAGTTGGAGTCTGCAAAGGCAGCTGCCCGCATCACCTTTTCCGTCAGCTCCTCGTTACAGACGTTAGCTGCTTTTTGTCTTTCTGCTTTGGCTGTTTCGCGTAGGAAATAAATACGCTGTCATCGGTGTCAAATGACACCTCTGGCCCCTCCCCCTGCTTGTTTTCTGGAGAGCAGAATGTGGAAGAAGGTTGACTACTCAGCTCTTCTCTGCTGCCTGCGATGTACCTTGACTGCACTGAATGACAGACAGCAGGAGTGCATGGTTGCTGCTCATTAGCAAGTCTAATATCAAATTGCCAGCCCTGTGGAGTAAATAAAATCCCAATATACCCATAAATGATGAATGAGGAGAACATACATGTAAGTGGGATATGTTCCTGGGGGGTCAGTAGAGCCAGTCAAGGCAATTATTTTCAACCAGCTGTTTCTAAAATCTTGACTGCAGTCTGTAATTCAGTAAACACTACATCTGAACAACCAAGTCCTTAAAACTTAAGCCTGCACCAGAATCACCTGGGTAGCTTGATCCAGTAGGTCTGGAGTAGGGTCCAAGAATTTGCATTTCTAACAGTTCCCAGGGAATGTTGATGCTGAGGGTTGGGGAAACCACACTGTTTTAAAGCAAGAACCAATGCTGCTTTTTTTCCCCCTGCAGAGATGAGCTTCCTCATCTTTTACCCAGCCCTCACCACCATTTCTGTCCCATCAACAGCTGGCTGAGATCAAACACACAGAGCTGGATAATGCAACAAAGCTGGAAAGGAGTCCTATTAAAAAATCGAATTAGGGGCTGGCCCGGTGGCGTAGTGGTTAAGTTCACACGTTCCACTTCGGCGGCCTGGGGTACAGCGGTTCGGATCCTGGGTGCAGATCTATACACTGCTCATCAAGCCATGCTGTGGCGGTGTCCCACATAGAAGAGCTACAACTCTACAACTATGATACCCAACTATGTACTGGGGCTTTGGGGAGAAAAAACAAAAGAGAGGAAGACTGGCAACAGATGTTCGTGTAGGGCCAATCTTCCTCAAAAAAAAAAATCTAATTATGGGTGTCCAAGTGTAGTCTAACTATTGTGAGTGTTTTAGAGGTGATTTTAGAGCTCTGAATTAGAACAGGTTTACATCCTAGTAAGATTTTTCAACAGCTGATGGTGATTAAGGCAACCAAATGGTGACTTAGGCTGCTTTTCACAGAGAATTCCTAAAAGATTTACTGAAACAAGAGAAATAAAAGAAAAATAAACAATTTCTATGTGGAAGGCATTTAAGACATTTTAAAGAAGATGACATTTGAAAGTTGGGAAATGAAAAAATTCTTGCATAAGATGATTCTAGAACCAGTCTTGAAATTTTATAAAGAGCAGTGGAAAGATGCTCTGGAGGAGATCAGAGGAGCTAGAATTGTTCCAGGAAAGGGGTTTGTGAGATTGAAATGAAGATATGTCCTGCTCTTGAGTGTGGCTGAATCAGAAATGCTTAGTATCATACGGTGGAGAGTGTACTGGGCTGGGAGTCCAACCTCTGGGTTCTGATACTAACTCTGCTTCACCAGTTTTTCTCTGGAAACTAAGGGGATGACATTAAAAAATTCCTCGAAACTCCAGAACTCAAATAAGTACTGACTCGATAAATAGGTACTGAATATTGGGAAAGCTGTCAGTGGTGCTGGGCTTCGTTTTCTGCGTCCCTTTCCTTTCCCTCTGGGAAGTAGTTGTAACTATGACAGAGTAAACGGGGGGCAACGTCTTGTCCCACCAATGCACAATAACCCCCATTTAGTGCTGTGGACAGTGAAATATCCTTGAGCCTCAATAGTGCTACTTTTGGGGGTGAAGAGGCCCACACCATCTTCTGGGGAGGAAAATGGGGAGCGATGCAGAGAAACACCTTGAGTGCTACTTAGAGCAAATGAATGTTGTGTGAATTACAGACCACAAGAAAGCTAGTTCCACCTGATGAATGGGGAAGAGATCAGTTCAGGACCAGAAAACAAATACTACTTTACATCATGACTTGTAGCTTATGAGGCCCAAGGCTCCTGAAGATACAGAAGACAAAAAGCTCAATGAGTTCAAGAAGGCTTTAACATCACGGAAGTTTGATTCTTGCTAGACCATTGAGGGAAACTAAAGACTCATACGGTTCTCCCCAAATCTATTGAAATTGACTCAGGGAAGAATGCCCCAGTGCTCCGGGCAGAGACAGAGGGTTTGACCTGAAGGACTGGAAGACTGAGTTTTCTATGTTCTTTTGGAGGAAATTTATTTTAACTTTTTATTTTGAAATAATTGTAAACTTATAGAAAAAATACAAGAACAGTACAAAGAATTACTCTATACACTTCACCCAGATTTCACCAATTATTAACATTTTGCCATATTTGCTGTCTCTCTGTATATAAATATGCACACGCATATTTGTGTGTATATATAGATACACATATGCATATCATTATGTATACATATATATATTATTGTGTATATATAGAATCATTTGAGAATTGGAAATGAGTTTTTGAGTTTTCTTCCTGGATTACCATTAGTCATAAAAATCAAAACGAGACTATGTGCTTGTAGCAGAAAGGAATTCTCTCCTTTGCAACCCTCGTTACTCAATCCAACTTTCAGTTTATCTCGATATATCAGCACTTATGCATCTAGGTATCTGACAAATGTGATATGTAGCTTGTATCCAATTTTTTCTTTATTTTAACAGCATTTCCATTTAAAGGATAAATGTAACAAATCTAAAAGAAAAAGTATATACATTTATTTACATTATAAGTTGAAGTTATTTTGATCTTTGTTGATAGCTTATTCACTTAAAATACAGGATTGACTTGTATGCAGAGTGGACATTTGTCAGGTTTCCTTATCTTTATTTATTCTGGGGAGTTGCTTAGTATTTGACCCCCTTTCCTGATTGCTGGAGGGATTTGTGGGAAGAGATGATACCAGCAAGGTGGATGGAGCAGTACAATATAGACAAGAGACTGAGAGTTATTTGGAATGAAAACTGGAAACAATCTCCCTCACCACCCCAAAAGGCTGGAAACAACCCAAATGTCCATCAGCTGGTGAATGGATAAATAGATATGTTCATACTGTGGAATACTATTCAGCATATAAAGGAATGATAAATGCTACAACATGGATGAACCTCTAAAATACCATGCTAAATGAAAGAAGCCAGACACAAAGAACACATATTATAAGATTCAATTTATATGAAATGTCCAGAAAAGGCAAGTCAATAGAGACAAAGTAGATTAGTGGTTCCCTGGGGCTGGGGGTGGGAAAGGGGAGTGCCTGGGAATGGGCACGAAGGATCTTTTTCGGGTGATGAAAATGTTCTAAAATTGAATCGTGCGAATGGTTACACAAGCCTGTAAATGTCCTAAAAACCCTGAATTGCATGCTTAAAATGAGTGAATTTTATAGTATGTTAATTATACCTCAATAAAGCTGTTTTTGTTTTTAAAGAGTTATTTGGGATGGAGAAAAGGTAGAGTAGATTTCTTTGCTCTTAGAATGCAGAGTAGCCTCCAGTAGAGGAGACAGTCTATTCCGAGACTGTGATGAAAAAAAAAAAAAAAATTATAGAGCCAGGGAGAGATTGTGGCCCAGAAGGACCAAGCCAAAGGACAGTACCAGGTGGGACAGGAGGACATACGAGGGGAGCTGGGAGGGAGGGAGGGAGACCCAGAATGCTGGGACTCAGAATTTGCTGCCTCTGATGCCTGGTTTCCCCAGCTTGGAAATGGGCTTTCAGCATAGCCTTCTCCCTCTGCTTCGAGACTCCCGCTAAAACCCTAGCAGCAGTGCAGCTGCCACCCCCAAATGCCTCAGCTGTGCCCCGGGCTGCTTCTGACAGGGACACTGTCCATAGTGATGATGCCAAGAGGGAACCCCTGGAAATTGAGAAGCAGTAATAAAACAATGGAAAATCTGAGCTGTAGATATCTTTTTTTTTTTTAATTTTAAGTTGCAAGGGATCTCAGCCAGAGGGATCTTTTTTTTTAATTTTTATTTATTTATTTATTTTTCCCTCAAAGCCTTAGTAGATAGTTGTATGTCGTAGTTGCACATCCTTCTAGTTGCTGTATGTGGGACGCAGCCTCAGCATGGCCGGAGAAGCAGTGCGCCGGTGCATGCCTGGGATGCGAACCTGGGGCCGCCAGCAGCAGAGCGCACGCACTTAACCGCTAAGCCACGGGGCCGGCCCGGAGAGATCTTTTTAATCATCAAAAGAACTCAGACAAAGCAGATTGGTGACTGAGCTTTTAAGTGGCTTCTGATAAAAGCAGAGGTAAGTGTGACCTCTTACCAGGACTGGGCAAAGTTTATCCTACAGCTCAGTTCCAGGGAAGGGCCAATCATAATAATCATTTATTGAGTGAGTCTTAATGCCAACATCTGTGCTAAGCGTTCTGTGCACCGAATCCTCACGACAACAACTGGAGAGGGTACTATAACTGTCTCCTTACAGAGGATGACGTTGAGGCAGAGAGAGGTGAACTGACTTGCCGTGGATGTGTAGATCACACAGCTAGTAGATGAGGGTTGGGATAGGGACTCCCGTGGGTCTGACCCCAGAGTTGGGGTTCCAGAGCTGGTGTTCATGAGTGGTATGTTGTCCTGCCCCACTAACGAAGCTGTGGGACACTTACTGTTGTTTAAGCAATGCGATTGTGAAATTGGTATAGTTCAGCTCAACAAGCTGAATTGAACTCTTTGGCAGTGGAAATATAAAGCTCGTATACTTTTCTTTCAGTGAATATTTACTGAGCTACTTCCTCCTCTGTGCCAACCACGATGCTGGACTCTGAAAACCCACTGTGGTAGAGAGTCCCTTTTCTCGAGGAGCAATCTAGATGGAGAGATGAATAAACAAGAAATTTCAGTGTCAGCGCTACAAGAGTACTGGCTGTTGTGGGTGCCTGGAGTGGGGCACCCGGCGCAAGCCAAGAGCCGGTGGGAGGAGGGTCAGGCAAAGCTTCCTGGAGAAGTGAAACCTAAGCTGAGACCTCAGCCATTCACCTACCTGCTCATTCCTGCCAGAGCCTTTTTGGAACTCATCATTACTGTGTATTGAGTAACCCTGTGCTAAACACACCGAACACAGCTGCTTCTGATCAGAGAAGTTAGCATGGTTTACTTCAGGTCTCTGTGAACTGACCTCTCCTTCTACCTATAGGTTTTCAGGCTTGAACATTGCAGAGGAAGCTCTGGGGGGAGCAGAGCGGAGCAGGCTGGGCTTCTCTGACCAGCTGCAGTTTGTGAGCTTGTTGAGCACGCTCAGCTCCATCTGTGTGGGCATTAGATAAGTTAGCCCTCAGTTTTGCAATTTCTTTACCATCCCCTCACTCCTACTCCCAGAGGTAATAAGAGGCTGTGATGTACGGCTGGCATTTCCTTCTTTGCTGACAGCCTTGCTTCACCGAGGGTTCCTTTCTTCAGCCTCCTGGTTGTGCTCCTTTCTGGACTACAGGTGTCT